ATGTAGTTTCCCCTTTTCATAGCTAATTAATGTTCTCATGCTTTCACCCTAGCTCAACAAAAATATATTTTCAATAAAAAGCAATGGCTAATATCAAGGAAAACAAAAACAAGCAAAAGAACCCATGAGAATTCTTATTAAGTTCTCTTTAAGCATAAAAGTCTCAGAATATTTTTAACACACACACACACACACACACACACACACACACACCCTACAGTATTCCACACAATTTTCATACCACACCCACCCCATACCAACCCCCATCCCAAATCACATACACTTTCTACATCCATCACACCCTCACTTCTTCTCTTCCTCCATACCACACCTCTACCCCTCCACACACACCACACACACCCCACACACCACACACACCACACATATCATCTCACACCCATCACCCCCACCTCTTCATACCACACACACACACACACACACACACACACACACTTCCTTACACCCATCACACCAGTCACACCCATCACTCCCCACCATACCCACTCTCTTACCCTTCCACAGACCCCATACTACATAGCACACCATTTTTTTTCTTCTTCTACTACCAAGAGTAAGACTGTGCATTTAATCCCAACATCTGGGAGGCAGAGGCAGGCAGATCTCTGTGAGTTCAAGGCCAGCCTGGTCTACAGAGGGAGTTCCAGGATAGCCAAGGCTATGTAGAGAAGTAGAGAAACTCAGTCTCAAAAAGGTCAAAAAAAAAAAAAAAAAAAAAAAAAAAAAAGAGACTGCTCACATGTTCTTCAAAGTCAACCCTAATTAAAATGCCACCAGAGTTTTAGAATGTGAATATGTCTCACTAATAATTTCCTAATAGTCATGAACAAATTATTAAAATATTTCAAGGAATTTTTGTTTTGTTTTGTTTTGTTTTGTTTTCCGTTTGGGATACTTGCTGGTTCTGCCTCTTTTCCAGTATCTAAAATGTAGTACATCCAGGTGATAAGTTTTGAGCAAAAACTCCACAGTAAGTATAAGCACTGGTAATAAAATGGTGATGGATGAGGGGCATTGACTCAGAGCACCCATGGACTCAGATGAAATTTTCATGCTGACACTGTTCATTGTCAGGTACTTGTTCCCATGTGTGACACATGAAGGGGTGAGGTCACATTTCTCTGCAGCTTGAGACCTCGAGGTTGATAGTTATCAGACCAAGGCATGTCTGATTTCAGCATCAGGAAGCTGCACCCTGAAAGGTGTTCCAGGCACCAGGCAATGCTGTTCATCTGCTTAGTCAGACATCAGAAAGCAAAGTCATTGTACTTAACCCTAGATAATTAAATCTAACAATTTCTGGCAGTATTAATATATGTGATTGTGGGGTTTTGTCATTTGCCATTAAGAAGAAAGCTTTGATAATATTTCCAGGGCAATGGGATTAATTATGGAAAGTGCTTCCTGATTCACTCTGAACTATGACAGGTAAACAGAAAGCCCATTGTGACAATAAAGGAAATATGGACCTTGGCCATTTCTTCCAGGTACCACATGTCACAGAACAGATAGGGAAGAAAAAGATGAAATGTAGTATTTAAATTGATCCTCGGCACCTCACACTGAAAGAGCATTTAATTGTGATTGTCTTCTAAGTATGTCCAAACCCATTTGTACTCTAGTAGACATGGTCTATCTGTTTCCATCTCAAGCAATCTCATTCAGGGGAGATACTCAGTTTGCCAATTATAATTCACTTTCAAAGTGATTCTTTTCCAATTCATAGTCTCTTTCCAATTCATGTTCTTGGAAAGGAACTCAATGACAAGCTAGAAAGGTCACAATGTAAAGGGAGAAAAGGTCATCACTTTAAGATTTTAAAATGTAAAGCAAATAGCTGAATACACACTCTCACCGTCCTTATAGTGCTATCATTTAACAACCCATAAATGAAATTAACTTTAAACATATGAACCCCCAAATAAAACAAATCAGTAAAATTAATGTAGACTGAAATAAAACCTTTATAATTAGGATGTGTATACTCCGTATGTAAATTTTATTTGGAAAGAAATGCATTTACTTATATAGGTTTGCTTATATAAATATGTATGTACATATTATGTAGTAGAATGTTCAATTCCATTGGATTTTCAAAAAAATCAAAGAACAACTCCTTTCTTGGTAATGAAGGCTAGCCAAACCAGTGCTTTCCTTTCCTTTCCTTTCCTTTCCTTTCCTTTCCTTTCCTTTCCTTTCCTTTCCTTCCTTCCATCCTTCCTCCCTCCCTCTCTCCCTCCTTCTCTCCCTCCCTCCCTTCCTCCCTTCCTTCTTTTCTTTCTTCTGTACACTGCTACAAAATAATGTCCTTTGGAAATGACTTTAAATTGCATGCGACTGTGTGGTTAAATAATTTCTTATCAAGCTAAATAGGCATGACTAATCCTGGCAGTCATTCAAGTGAGACACAGAGACATTATGGCTTCATTTCTTCATGATAAATTTACCACTGATTTCATAAGAATGTAGGGTTTTATCATAGCACTGTGCATAGCATCTCTCTCTGTATTGACAAACATATCTGTGTATTTTAAGCACTGTAATAATCTTGGAACAATTTTAAAGTTTAAAGACACCTTGAAATAGATATATTTAATTTTTGCCTCTGTTTTAATTATGTGGGTGACTTCAAATTCTTTGATAACTTCCCATGGTTCACATGTTTATATTGATGTTATATAGATTGGGAATTTTATACACTTAGACTATAAAATAGTTTGAACTAAAAATTCCAATTAAAGTTAGAGGTACAAGGTCCTTTTTAGTCTTAATTTAGGGATGTATGTATGATGGTCTAGGTAAGGATAGGGATGGCTATATGATAGTCTAGGTGAGGATGAGAAAGGAATCATAACTTGGAAACAAGATGATAACCAAGAATGTACTACTTTTGTATGCTAGGAAACATATAATTTAAACATTTAAATAAAATTATTGAAAAAAAAGATGAGTAACTTTTGTGCACCTGAAGTTTAAAGGAGTCATTGAGGCCCTTCATAGGCAGGACAAAAACATGCACCATGAAACACACTCCAATCAGTTTTGCTAATAACCTAGATGGAAAGCTAGTCTGAGCTCATGGGCTGTGCAGGCTTGGACAAAGTATTTAACTTCCTGTCTACTAGATGAAATTACCCACTGCCCCTTCCAACTTTAAATGCATAACTCTTACCAAATATTTTAACAGAAATAATCAGAGACATTTTTATGAGAGATTTTAATATGTTCAAAAAACATAACTTAAAACAATGATAAATAATAGGCACTAGACTCTGGCTGTCACTGAGACGGTCCCAGATAGCCAGAAACACTGGAAAATTCCTTCCTTCCTTCCTTCCTTCCTTCCTTCTTTCCTTTCTTTTTGTTTTTTTGTAGGAAGGGAAAGGAAATCTGCATTCCAAATAAAAACCGTATCTGCTTTGTGGGTGTATGACAAAACTAAACAAACAAACAAACAAAAATAAAAACAATCAAAAGCTAAGAGCTAACTATTTTCAGATGAAAGGAACATATTGCTATATTTAAAGAAATGAGGACTATGACAAAATTTTTAATTAAAAAAACAGTTAAGGTTATGGAACACTATTTTGTTAGTCAATATAAAGATCATTGGGCAAATGTCCTCTTTTTAGGTGTCAGCAATAAAATGGATTAGTGTCTACTTTCAAAGAAGATGATGATGGCAATTTAATTAAATTTGTCAGTGAGTAAGCTGTAACTTCAATGAGGATTTTTCTAGAGCTACCAAATCTCCAGGTATCAGATCACTGTCGAGGCGTTCAGTGCTGGGGTAGAAGCCTTGGCCTTCCACTATTCTCCACACTTGTTGGTTCCACTACAACAGGTCTGGCTGTTTCAATGGCTGATGGGAGTGCTTGCCTAAACCAGGATTAAGATGGCTAACATGTGGAATCTACTGTCGAGGAGAGAGGTGGAAGAGGGAATATCTTCTACTGGGTCGGCCCTATTTCCTGTGGAACTTCATCACCCTAACCACATGCAAGAAACATTGGGTAAGAAGTGTTTTGCTTTTTGTTTAAGTTAATGACTCGTGTGTGTGTGTGTGTGTGTGTGTGTGTGTGTGTGTGTGTGTGTTTGTGTGTGTGTGTGTGTGTACTTAGGGTTGACCACTAGGTATCTGGTAACCTATCAGAAGGCTTGTCTGTGGGGAAGAATGAATCTCCCTCTCCCAGCAGCCATTAATCATCAGTAGCTCTTTATATGAAATTCTCAAAAACAAATAAAAAACCCAAAACAATATCCACCAAAAGCGTAAGTTAAGTGACTCCCCCTGCTTGTGTTCCTTAAACTCATTCCCACCTTGTTTCAATTACTTTCAATGATCTTCAAGAGTGCTCAGACCTTACTATGCCACTGTAGGAGAGATATCTTTCCAGAGAGGTTGGAGCTTTAGACTTTAGAGGGTAGAATTTAAGAGCTGGTAGTGAGAGGAGTTCCAGGAGCAATTCACAAGTACCAGTGCTTTTATCAGTTATAGAGGTTTTACCTTCCAAGACAATAGAGAAATACCTGCTAACACAGTCTTCCAAAGGTGTTTACAGCAGCTTGCCCATGATGGTATTTAGACTCATGCCCAAAGGTACCCAGCTTTTCTTAGAGGCCACCCTGCACTGTTACTCAGATTCTGGTTGCTTCATTTATCATAACTCAGTGCCTGTCTCTCCTTCCTTGAGGGAGAAGAGGGAAAGATAAAATGACACATGCCTTAACTTCCTTTCCTCCTCTCAATGTGGCCTCAATGTAGTAATCATGGACTTCCCATTGCAGGGACATTTTAGAGGATATCCACTGTTCTTCCTCTCCACCATCCAACAGTCAATATTTGGATAATTGTTCATTGCTGCTTAGAATGTGAGGTCTTGCCTGAACTGCAGAGAACATGCTCTGATGTCCTCTTTTCCAAGCTTTGAATACAAGCTTTGTATTCAGGACTGTACCATGGGGCCTGTTGATTTACCTACCCGCCTTCTTCTGAATATTTATGCCCAAATGCCAGGATGTCGGATGCCCGTCCACTCCCATCACAGACCACGACTGGTACAGGAGGGGTGTCACGAAGGTACTCCAAAACAATGGAGATCACGTTGGGTCCTCCTTCCACTATGAGTGCCACCACTGGAACCCCTTGGCCGATTCCTGCATTAAAAAAGGAAAAGAAAAGGAAAAAAGGAGAAAAGAACACAAAGCCAGCAAACCAAATAAACAAAAAGAGAAAGAAAAAAAAGCACAAACTAAAATTACTGAGCATGGGGGGAGGTAATGAGATATGAAGGAATAAAATACTGAGTGACATTTGCAGAAAACTCATTAGTAGAATTCCCACCCCCAGAAAGTCCATGTGACCTGCCCAAACCCCACAGCTCACAAGAGGGATATTAATCCACTTCATACCTGATAACCTGAGATACATGAAGAAGGGAAGTATCTAACAGAAAGACTGGGCCATTAGTCAAAATGTTGGAAGCCATATTCTGATTGTAAGAAGTGTCTTATCTATCTAGTAGTTCTGTCTGCTGTATAAAAAATTGGAAGTTAAAAATTTCTAATGCCTGGTTACCAAAGGGCCTTTTTGGATTCACTGCTGGCTGCAGTATGGGTCTGTGTATTCTAGCTATAGCTGATTGGCTGAACAGCGGCTCTGAGCACCGAGCAACACCAGCATCATAAAAGTCACTGCTTTGGTCACATGGTTTTCTGTGCATCCTGCACTATTGAGTAAAGTGTTATGTGCACGATGACACTCACTACACATCTGTTGCATTCAGTTGAATGAAGGGGATTCAGAGTTGTTTTGTAGCACATTTAAGCTATTATTTCAAGCCACAAGACACTGCAGTTTTCATCTAAAAATTTCCGTAACGTCAGCATTGCATGTGTGATTCAATCTAACATATGAAAGAGAAGAATTGAAAACCGATGTCCATTAGAAAACAATGAGCCCCAGATTCAATTTATTTTAAACTGACGTTTTAAGTTTCATTATCATCATCGAATAACTTACTCTTGTTCAATTTGTTATTGCATTGGGTTAAACTGAACAACATAAAAATGAGTTGGTTTTATGAGGGGTCCAAAAGTGTTTTTACAAAAGTTGTAATTGAAATTTTGTGCCACCTCTGCTGTAAATATGAGTTTATGTAAAACAAAACAAAAATAAGATAAAAACTTTGGTCATATGACTTTTCCATTTGGCCTTTGGCTGTCATTTTATCTTGTGCCAGGAAACTACTTCCGAGTGATAATTAATAGTTTGGGATTTGGTTTTTGCTCGATTGTTAGGTTTTATTGGATGTGTATGATTTGTTTTCCTTCTAAAATCTGATCAACTCTAAGGTACAGAAGATAGATTTTTGTTTTCATGGTTTGATCTTAAAGGATCCAAAATGTTGGTTGCACATTAATTGTTTTACATCTCCATCAAAAACATGGGGAGAAAAGAATGACTGTGGGTCAAGGTGGGGGGGGGCTGTGAGTTCTTTTCATGCTCTAATGATAACTGGGAGAGGGATGAAGCCTGGGTTCCGGTAGTTTTTGGCAGATGGGGAGGACTTTGAGGATATTCTTGAAAATCTAAGGACATGGCAGTTCTAAGGAGAGGGCAGTTAAACATCCTGTGGCTCTCCTTTCCAGGAACTCCTTCCAACCCTGAAACCAGACTTTTTAAAGAAGTCTGTTTGGGTGTCTGGGAAGGAAGAGTCTTACCAGTGTTACTTGCTGTAACTATTAAGCAAGTTCTTGAAAGATATTTGGGAGAGAAAAATTGAACTGAAGACCTTATGCAGCATGCCTCTTTTAGTGGAGGATTTTCTGTCACAAAACACTCACTATGTGGGAGATTTGTACACTAATGTATATTGAGAAACACAGCTCCTGAGGATAGATCTAGACTCATTCTGATCTGGGGATGCAGCCTAGTGGTATTCCACTCACTAGCATCCACAATGCTCTGGGTTCAACCCCAAATAGGGAAAGGAAAATAATAAATGGAAATTTCTAAATTTTCATCTTGAGCAAAGCTTCTGTCAGAGTGACTTCAAATCAAAGTAATAGACTAAGTGGATTTTTCTTTAAGATCCATTCAGTGTCATTGTGGAGGGAGTGGTTTTTGACTGGGCCTCTAGAATGTCCCAGTGTTTTAAGGGCTAGTGGAAAGAGGCAAGAAAACTGGTAATAATTTTCCCAAAAGGATAGCCTGTTATAAGGGATCAGTTTTTGGACTAATTTGATTGTAATAAATTTCAAGTTATTTCCTGAAAATATATTTGTCAGTATATCAATGTTATAATTGCTGAAAATACAGAAGTATTTTCATACAGAAGTATGGTAAAAATTTCCCATATTTGGAATGAAATTGGTTATTGAATAATTCACTTAAGTTCAAGTGCTAAAATATTGGGTGGAACAAAATATTGTCTCCCTTTTCATAAACATTTTATAATATATCTATACCTCCAAATTCTCTTTCCTTTGGTGACAAAAAATGAGGTTTGCCCAGTGGTTAAAAATACTTAGCATTTAAATAAAAGCATCTTGATTTTGTTATGGCAGAGGCCCTTGTTATGCTTAGAAATACTATGCTTAACACAAATAGAACTTGCCAAGGTCTGGCAACATGAAGCTTTTTTTTCCTGGATGAACACATGTACACATTGGTTTTGAATCTGAGAAGAGGAAAGTATATTAAATAAAAAGTGATGTGCTAAGCCACGAGGGTTAGTTTGTTGGTAAGAAAATTTTATAGAATACTTGCATGAATATGATGAACATGAGAAACTCTTGCTCTACAAAAGGAAGTTCATGTCTAGACAGAGACAAAGCTGTTTCTAGGCAACTTAGTTGGGTTCATAAATCCCCAAAGCTCATGAACATGTACACAATGGGCCTTACTTACTTAACCACATTGAAAGATTTGTGCATTAATTTGTTAGTTTATGATCCTCATGGAGACTAATTCTTAGATGGCTTTTCAAACTAATTTCTACATCTGAGGAAATTCTATTCTATTTATTTATTTATTTATTTATTTATTTATTTATTGCTCTTTTATGTTGATTGGGAAAACCTTTCCTGGAAAAACACTGTAGGATGTATCCCTTCTCTCATTCCATCTGCCTTTCTCTCATTGCTTAACTTTTCCACTCACACTTTATTTTCTATATCACATTTAGGACATAACATATTTTGGAAAATCTCTAGAAAAATTAACAAACTAGAATCTGTAGAATGTTGCCACACAGGATGAACTAGCTTTTTACAAGTCAAGCACCCTGCATTTTTTTTTTTAAATTAGTGACACAAATGAAACATTTTGGGAATTTCTTTTATCTGTAGCTGGTCTAGATTTGCTCAACTCACTGCCCTTTTCTTTATGCCTATTGGAAATTAATTTAAGTTCCTTTAAAGGTCTTTGCAAAGCTGTGCCTTGCTCAGCTGAAACTGTGGGCTGTTTGCCTGCCAATCCCTCTCCCCAAAATTATTCAGATTTACTCTGGAAAAAAATGAAACTATTTAAAAAGACGTTTATATGTAGATTGCTGAGGATCCCTCTTTTAGATTAGAGAGAAAGTAGGTCAATTCCTAAGTTAATTGCAATCACTTAAAATTTTCTTCTGTATCTGACAGATATTTCTATTAGAACCTAAGTGTTTTAAGCAAGAAGATGTGACATAGTGGTCACATACCATATTCAACAAGAATACAAGCTCAGGAAATAGACATGATTTCAGCAGGGTCCAGCTGAACCTGGGCTCTCAAACTATATTGAGAGCCACATTTTTCTCTGCACAAGATAACATATTTGACTTTTATCCCATCTTTTCCTGGCTGGTATGCTATTCAGAAATAGTTCCTTACCTCCATGTGGGAAGCATCTAAATTGGTGCAAATAAGGATTGGGGTGAGATGGGCATTGTGCAGGAGATGGTTGGCAGGAACAGAAGACTTAAATTTCCAAATAATTAAAACTCATTTCGGTTGTTTTGTGTTTTTGAGTAAGTTTTGCCTGCCTGGATGTCTGTGCATCACATATATGCCTGGTATCTGCAGAGCCCAGAAGAGAGTACCAGATTCTCTGGAAATAAAGTTACAAATGTTTGTGAATTGCCATGTGGGTGCTGGGAACCAAACCTGGATCCAGGAAGAGTAACCAACTGATCTTAACTGCTTAGCCATCGTCCTTGCTCTTAAAAAAGCTTCTCTTTCTCTCCCTCTCTCCTCTTCCCACCCTTCTGACATGAATCCGTAGTCTATATCAGTTCGGGTTCTTACAGAAGCATTTGGTGTGTTCTACAGAAATGTCTGGGTCACTGAGAAGAATTTGTTTACACTAACACTCTTTCTATGACAAGACTATCAGATAGTCCACAGAATAATTTATTTTCTGTTGAGAGGTGATTCATATTTATATAAAGGTGGAACATACAAAACTGACCTCTTCCTAAGTCTCAATGACCACAGGCCAAGCTTATGAAATTACAGTCTGTGTCATTCGGAAAGGAGGTTCCTGCTCATTGTATGGGATGACTTCCTAAAGACAGTGCCAAGTCTGTCATTGGTGGGGAACCAAGGAAAGCTTATGGCAATAACATGAACTTGGTGAATTTCTGTCTTTGTCAGCTCTGGGAGCACGTGTTTTTTAGTGTTTTAAAGTTTGCCTGGAGCAAGAATTTATATGTTTTGAAATACTGCATATTGTTGGAATTTATCAATGTTTTGAGTTGCCCAGATTTAAATTTGCATAATTATAATGACAATTAAAAAGCTTCACCCACCCGCTAACTCAAATATCATGGGCTCTAATTCAGCACTTGGTTCTGCTGATAAAAACATGGTCCCCATCGCCTATATTTACATATATGAGTGGCCAGCAAAACCAAGTAACCCATAAGTTGCATTTTTTCCAACAGAATCTCCCACACTTTTGAGGGTTATTAATAATAACTGAAGTGATAGAACCTATACAGTACCATAGCTTTTTTTCATTTTAGATTCTCAGTACCTGTAACTAGATATGATGTGTCTTCTGTGGTCTGCAAAGTGTGAAATGTATATAAGAAAATTAAGCCAAATTGTAATTTGAGCAAATAAGATGGAACAGTGGGTACATTTGATTTCAGGGACCCACATGGTAGAAGGAG